CAACAGCTAAATAAACCATTTGTCATCACTGTTCACTTAAAGCCTGCTGCTGATCACCTAGTAGGAAACAACTCAAATTCTGCATGGTATATATTTTTTAGTAAGATATTCCAGCTACGATTCCCTCTACAGTACTCGTTTAGGACCATGAGCCCATAGAGCACCAACTTAGATACCACATTTTTCTTATTAGTTCACTCTCGGGCTATATTATTTGCAGAACATAGCGACTAAAAAGCCTTTATATGTGACTGAATTCTCACTAAAGCAGAATAGGAGATGTGAAAAGTGAGATTAATATATAGTATACAGACAATTGCTGACAACCTGATGGATGACTTGATTACTGGTTCGGAGGAAAAAATGTGATAGGACTAAATTCAGAATGTAAGTAAGCCTGGAGGCTATCTAATCTACTGTGGCTTACATCAATCCTAAGTAAAGCCTGGAAGAATTGTGCATCCGTCAAACACATCTAGATCTTCCAAAATTTGGCTACTCTCAGATTCTTTTATCTCTACATGAAATTCCATTGAAGTCAAGAGATATCTCCACTTACCTTCCTATATATAACCAAAATTACTTATTTTCTTGACACAATGAGACAGAAATTTTACCAAAGGTTCATGAAGTAAATCCAGTTGGAAGAACTACACTGAGATATGAGGCCTACACTCTCAGGTGCTGAGGGAGCTGGCGGGGATGATTGCCAAGCTGCTCTTGGCCATCTATCAGATCTCCTGGTTAACTGGAGAGGTCCCAGAGGATTGGAGGCTTGCTGATGTGACTCCCATCTTCAAGAAGGGCCGTAAGGAGGATCCAGGGGACTATAGGCCCGTTAGCCTGACCTCCGTACCGGGGAAAGTAATGGAGCAAATCATCTTGGGTGCGATCACACGGCATGTGCGTGGTGTCCAGGGGATCAGGCCCAGCCAGCACAGGTTCATGAAAGACAGGTCGTGCTTGACCAACCTCATCTCCTTCTACGACTGGGTGACCAGACTGGTAGATGAGGGAAAGGCTGTTGATGTAGTCTACCTAGACTACAGCAAAGCCTTTGACACGGTCTCTCACAGGCTTCTTCTGGGGAAACTGGCTGCCTGTGGTCTGGACAAGTATACATTCCTTTGGGTAAGAAACTGGCTAGATGGCCATGCCCAATGGATAGTGGTTAATGGAGTGAAGTCCAGCTGGCGACCTGTTTCAAGTGGTGTCCCCCAGGGGTCGGTACTGGGCCCATCTTATTTAATATGTTTATTGATGACCTAGATGAGGGGATTGAGTGTACCGTCAGTAAGTTTGCAGATGACACCAAGTTGGGAGGTGGTGTTGATCTGCCTGAGGGTAGGGAGGCCCTTCACAGGGATTTAGATAAGCTGGATCGCTGGGCTGAGGTGAATGGGATGAGGTTCAGTAAGGCCAAGTGCCAGGTCCTGCACTTTGGCCACTACAACCGCATGCAGCGCTACAGGTTTGGGGATGAGTGTCTGGATGATTGTGAAGAGGAAAGGGACCTGGGGGTGTTGGTTGATGCTTGGCTGAACATGAACCAACAGTGTGCCCAGGTGGCCAAGAGGGCCAATGGCATCCTGGCCTGCATTAGAAATAGTTTGACCCGCAGGAGCAGGGAGGTGATCATCCCCCTGTACTCAGTTCTGATGAGGCCGCACCTCGAGTACTGTGTTCAGTTTTGGGCCCCTCTCTACAGGAAAGAATGAGGCCCTGGAGCATGTCCAGAAAAGGGCAATGAAACTGGTGAGGGGTCTGGAGCACAAGTCCTATGAGGAGCAGCTGAGGGAGCTGGGATTGTTTAGTCTGGAGAAGAGGAGGCTCAGGGGAGACCTTATTGCACTCTACAACTTCCTGAAGGGAGGCTGTGGTGAAGAGGGGTTTGGCCTCTTCTCTCAGGCAGTGAGCAGGACCCGGGGAAATGGCCGCAAGTTGTATCAGAGAAGATTTAGGTTAGACATGAGGAAGAACTTTTTCTCTCAGAGAGTGGTCAGGCACTGGAATGGCCTGCCAAGGGAGTGGTGAAGTCACCGTCCCTGGCAGTGGTGTCTGGATGAGGAGCCGCGAGATACGGTTTAGTGCTTATGGTAGCAGTGGTAATGTGAAGACGGTTGGACTAGGTGACCTTATAAGTGGTTTCCAACCTTGTGATTCTATGATTCTATGATTCTATGATCAGAAACTCTTCATCTGAAGATGTGAACCGTACCAAAACAGGCATTCAATAAAAACACCAAGCACCAAGACTCAGCTACCTTAGTGATGAAGCTGTGGGGCTTAGGCAAGTTTTGACAAATCAGAAACCTTGGAAAATGGAACATTAATGGAAAAATGGATGTTGTCAACCACACAGGGGGCAGTGCATAATATGATGCCTGCAAGGGAGCTGGTGGGCTGCTCTTCGCCAGGATTGGCAGACAGGCCGCTGCCCTCACACAGAAGGCAGTGCCCTCCCTCCCTCCACCTTTGCAATAGCTTACACAGGCTGGAATTTTATACTCCGCCTTCATGGCAAACTGAAATAAAGGACTTGAGAAGAGTCCCCCTTGACATTTTCATTTGAGGCAAAATTATAGATCTTAAATTATAAAAAATCTAAACATAACTGCTGCCCAGCCTTCAGGTTGCCAAAAACCATGTCTGGGTTCAACTTCATCCCCTTGACAACCAGAACTATGCATCTCTACATCTCTGACTTAGAGCTGTTAAAACCGTAGGGCAGGCCTCGAGCTGTTCTGAGACAGCTGTGCTCTTCTGCACTCAGAAAGAGAAGGAAAGTGCTCTGTAAGAACAGCTTGTTACCCCCATGCTGCCAACCAACTATGCTGTCTCTGCACCTCTGAGAGCCACAAATCAAAACAGAAAGGTTTGAGAGTCCGGTTAGGACTATGATACGTGAATACTGAAACAACAACAAAAAGACAGAAGTAGGTATTTGCAGGCCTCTTCTTTAAATTAATACTGTTCTCAGTAGTGCTGCCAGTGTAAGATTGAGGTGTTTTTAAAGATGTCAAGATACAGGTAGTTTTCACCTCACAAAAACTTGGGTACTTCAACTTTCACGTTAAGCAGGTGTTTTGCACCGTAAGCAGGTATTTGTAACCAAACACCCATGAAACCCTGAAGAGTTGTACCATGTTCTTCACTGACTTATTCCAGAGGGAAGCAGTACTATTTTTCTCCAGTAACAGCGGATAGTTTTCATTCCTTTTCCATATCTATGTATTTTCTCCATATCTTCTCTTGCCAAATGCTATGGGTAAGACTATGCTGTCCTAGAAAATCCATGATTTCCAAGGGCAGATAGTTGGGATAGGCTGGTCCAGGCCACATGTGGGCTGTGGGCCTTGTGTTGGATGTGCCTGGAAATCAATGTAACCATGGAGAATTTTTAAGCAGAGCTGAGGACAAGGAGATTAGAAAATCAGATCATTTTAGAAAGGGGAAGTAAATTACAGCATTTCTCCACTAAATCTCCTAAAGTTGGCTCACCACCCTTATGAGTAACACCAAGTAAAAGAATCACAGCAGTTTATCAAGCAGATATCATGTTTTTATAACAAAATCTCACTAGCAAGATGAAAGTGGGTGAGGGATAGGGCATTTGGAGAGCACAGCAACATCATCTTTGTTAGCAGTGGAGCAGAATTAACCAGAGGGGTCAAGCTTTGTAATAGAGATTGTGGTGTGATTGCAGCTGGTAGAGCATTCGCTCTGAACGCAGAGCAGAAGCAATGTGGAGTGATTTGAAGAAAGATGTGGCCATTACTCATAGAACTCTGAAATAACAAGAAGGGGGAATGAGAAGGAAGTAGTACAGGCCAGGGAGGTGGCAGAGACCATTCCTGGGATGTTTGTCTCAAGCGGAGAGAAACATTAGCTCCAGGGTCAATGAGAAAGATGTTGCATTTCATTTTGTAAATTTTTTTATGACATCTATTATCAGGAAACAAAGTAAATCTTTTGAATAATATGTTTGCAAGTTCAAGCATGATCCAACATACCTTTTGGTAAAATTCTGTTTGAGTAAAGGTGATTTGAAATAACAAGACAAGCACAAAAAAAGCTATTGAGCCCTTAATAGCTTTGGCAAAGAGGGCAAAAACGGAATTATCCAATTCAGATTAAAAACAGTGAGAACCATCCTATTTTAGACTGCATTATACTTGGCCTGTATGAGTGATTTATTTCACTGAAGTAAGATTGTACTAAAACAGGGGATCGCTCTCCAGACAATGCTGCCGTCCCCACGTGTGACGCACCATGTTTGCACATTCCATATGCTTCCTCATCAGTAACTTCTGTAATTAACACAAACTGATGAGGCATATGCTCAAATTAGATAGATACAGTAGCAAAAAGATTTGCTTTGGTCAGTGATCTCAAGCCAGTGATTTCTAAAGAAGTGAAAGCACATAGCAAATTTGCAAACACTTCAGCAGTGAGAGTCTGTAGAACTAAGAAAAGCTCTTAAAATGCACTTTGTGGCTCTGGATCCCTGTTTTCCCTGTGCTATGTTTTCTCACCTCCTAGATCTCATTTTCCATCCAATTCTCCTGCCAGAGAAAAGGACCAGAGGCAGGTCCCACATATCCGCTCATACTTTGCAGGGCTTCCACTTGGAAGGGATAGGGATTTGGGAGGACACTGTTACTGCTGTAACACTTGAGTCAGTAGTTTTCTGAAGAGCACTTTTTTTTGCTGTTCTTCTGTCTCCAGAAGATGTGTTCTTCCTCATGGCTGCTGCCAGTACAGGTAGATAAAGTGGTCTGTGAACCTGGGGATGTGCAGCACCTTTGAAGAGCTGATAGGCACCACAGTTTTAGAAACTCACTGAACTGTGGAGGCCAAGTAATTTCCACCAGGCAGAAAAATACTGACATTTATACTCAGCCTGCCTGAAAAGACATTCCATGCTGCCCATGAGGATTTCCTATAGCCACTTCATCCCCCGTGAGACACTGCTTAACAGTTAAACCACTGCTTGTTGGTTTTTTTTTATTATTATTGTTATTTCTTTAGAGAAGAGACTTTTTGCTGTGAGAGAAATGAACACTGTCAGGGTACCAGAACATAAACTGTTACTGCAAATCAAGCTCAGATAAAATATCTAAGGTCCTGACAGTAAAGTCTTGTCCAGCCTCCCAGGAGACCCTCCAACATGAGGCCATGCCAGGGAGCTCTACACTTTTCCCTCCACTCTTTCTGTATCACTGGATATCACGGGTGAACTGTTGTGAGGAAGATGCAGAGTTTGTCCTGGTGCAAAAGCCCACCTGCTTTCCAAAGATCAGTGTTAGAAATTTCAGATGACTGAATGGATTTTCTCACGGTCTTGACAACTGAATGGATTTTCTCATGGGCTTGGCAACTGAATGGATTTTCTCATGGGCTTGACAAGTGTTCGGTCTTGAGAATTTCAAGTACAGCATAGACACAGGGGGACTGTTGCAATAGCACAGAGAGTCCAAAGCTGAGCTCACTTACAAGTATGTGATTTTGCTTTATGTCTCTATTTCTGTTATAAATTGCAGGAAGAGTGAACTACAGATAGCTGTGGGAAGTGTGGTCAACATCAAGGGAATAGAGATCAAATATTCAAAATAATGTGATTGCAGAATGTGCCAGCTTGAGAAGGAAATTACTATTTGAAGGAATATATTTGCAGCAATTCTAAGGCTTTCTGTTCCACCTCTTATGTTCCACATGTGCTACCATTCTTGACATTTTCCTGCAGCCTAATGTCACTTGGAGAGCTGGCTGAGTTTGCTAGGGTCAGACTTGCCGACACGATTCTGCACTTCTCCCTAGAAGCAAAGACAGGAATATAACAAAAGTTCTCCATTTGTTTACAGGAAAGATGTTCTTAAGCAAGGCTGAGAAAATCCTGAAAAACATTTAGTCTGAGTATTACCACAAATGTTCAAATTATTTAGCTCCAACATACTGACTCTTTTATCTATTTCCCTTCTGCAAATATTCATGAAACAGTTTTGTTACCACAGCTTCTTACAGGAAGAGAATATCAATGCAACATGCACTAATATTCACAAAGTGATAAAATTTTACATTTACAAGCACCACTATGTACAGCAGCACATTCATTGAGCCATGGGTAAAAATATTGCCATGTGACTTATCCAGCCAATTTCAAATAGCTATTGCATTTTGAGTATGGAATGTTCAGAAAATATTGTAAATGAGCAGTCCAAAGAGACAAATCCATTAACATTTGTAGAATGTACTGACTAATGCACACTTTTAATAAAATGTAATTGTAAAGTTATTTTTATTAATGATATTCCTCAATTAGAGTGCTTCTAAGAATGCTGTAGCAGTGACAAAAGGGCTATCCCTCAAATAAAGAAACAGGTTATATTCACAGAACAAATTGTTGTGTAATCTAATATTCTCCATAGTTTCATTTTTTTCTTTATAGTAGTATCTGCAATTGAATCTTTTCCAATTGTTTCTTGACTTTCAGGAGACATAAGCTGTCAATCTTTTTAAAATATTGTTTTATTTTTAAAAAATACACTTTTCAGCTTTCATGTTACAGTATTTGTTACATGTTACAGATATGTACTAAAATATCACCAGTGCACATAAAATAGGGTTAGAAAAATATTTTCAGCATTTTTTTCTTGAAATTTATGTTTTCTTGAAGTAGGACATGCAAGCCACACTCCTTGAGAGTGATAAAGGGCTCAGTTTTGTCTGTAGCATGCTAAAGGATTCTGTAATGGGTAAGGAGATTCCAGAACAATTTCATGTACAATTCCTTTATTTCATCCCTTTATTCCATAAGGCTAACTTAAGTCTTGTCTGAAGTGCAAGTAAGAGTCCAAGCTGATCAGACCTTCAGTAAAGTGTAGGTAAAGCTCTGAGCTATTGTACGCAAAACGCTGTGATATTAGACAACAGTTTTTCAGTCATTTTTGGAAGAAAGTCACAATATAAGTGAATTGAATATTCAAACACAGATTTTGTGAGTACATTGAAGAAAAAATACTTGAAATACTATGGATTAGTTTTTTAAAGAAAGTCTAAAATGATAAAGAAGTGTATGTTATTTACACAAGCTCTCCAAAATACACTCCATATAAACCCTGCCTGTTCCCCTTTAACCAAAAGAAAACCTATTTTTAAGTGGAACATGCTACATTTTCTGTCCCTACTCATCTTTCTTCTGCTTATTTTCCTGTTCTTCCGTCATCAAGTGACCATTTTCCCAGTCCCCACACCTCTTTACTCAGAGCAAGCTTTGTGCAAAAGCCCAAGCCCCTTAGTTATCCACCCATCACATACGTTATTTTGATCTTCACTCAGCAGTGCATGCTGTTGAACAACATTTTTAGTGTCAGCTGTGCCCCAGGACCTCACAGTCCATGTCAGTGCAGCATGTTTTGTACAGCATCCCTTCCAACTTTTTGGAATTAATCCTGAATTCTGAGTCTGAAGATGTAGCATCTAATTCCCCATGCAACACCACTGAGAACATGGGATTTGTTACTTTTTTTTTTTTCTTTTGCATGTTTTAAATGAACAATTTCTCTATCATCCTGCTAGAATACTTAATCTTATGAGTTCAGCTTTCTACCATTTAATTTTCTGTGCAGACATGGTGGAAAAGGAGGGATTTTCTAGTAGTCAAACCTGTAGAAAAGTTACAGTACAATTTCACTGTCAGGAAGTTACTTATTTACTCAACACAAAATCTGTATCATTTCTTCATCAGAATGTCTTTCAGCCCAACCTTGTTTAATCAGCACAGTCATGTTTTAAGCTCAAGGGTATTTTTGAAACATCTAGAGAGCTAGTAGAAAGGTAAGATGCCTTACTACCTTACATGCTTCTCTAAGTTTAGTCTAAAATTCTCAGTATTCAAACTAGTCAAATAAATGCGAATGTTTCCTCACTCCTGTCCTCTTTTTTATTCCTTCTTTGTTTAGCTGAGGGACAGGAGTGGTATGTGTGGCAAAGTTTAATTTGCAATGGAGCATGGGACAAAGTCAACCTACTTTCACCTCTAGAGTGCAAGGAAACATAATTGTTTCCTGCTTGAGTCTCAACATTACTTCAGGAATAAGAAATCACACTGAAAATACTTTTCTTTTAAATTCATCTTTCTGGTTCTTATAGATTGCAGCTTTCGCATGGGTAAGGTCTCTGATATCAATATAAAGAATGACTTCATCCACATTTGCTTTTCCAACGATTTACATGTCTCTTAATTTATTTACAAGCCATGAAAAGTGTCTATAACCTTAAATACTTAGATCCTCCAGAGAATGGTGAAAGCAAATTTAATTGGTTAACACTGTCTAAGGCTATGTGCCAGGGCTCTGTGGAATGGTCTACTGAGGTTATATATTCTGCTCTGCTTAGTCTGTCTCTTATTTGATTCATTAATGTTTGGCATTGGCTAGACATCCAGTATTGTACCACTGCCTAGTGCTCCATAATAAACACAGAATCTCACAAAACTGTCCAGCTTTGTCACCAGCACAATGATGAAGCAGGGTCTGCATGGACAGATTGCTTCTACAGCCTGTGGATCACTTTGCACTTTCCTCTGTACTTCAGTCAGGTCCCTTGTGATGTGGCAGCTACACATAAGCTGTCCTGTGTTTGCTCCTTGTACAAGACTGACATTTGGAGAACTGAGTATCTCACTCAGATCTGCTTTCTGCTCCAGGAGCAGGCTGTAACACTCAGCCACTGCATTCATACAGTTTTTTGCCTACCAGCACAGAACAGGTGAAGAAATAGCCTTTTAATTCATGTTAATCTTATCATAGTGAATTTTTGCAAGATTTAAACCACAAGTTTGGACTTCCTGGCCAACTCTAAATACCCCTGATACACAAGCAATATTAATTGAGTATTATTCTGAGTCTTCTCAGAGTCTGAAACTTTATTCCACACAAAGAAGAAATAATATTTTCTTACTTCATAATGTCTGAAATGAGGAACACAGGAGATTCCACAAACCAACAGCACATCACACTTTAAGGCACGAGGAGTCTAGGCCTCTCTTGATGTTTATTTCTTATGCTATTCCTGTTTCACCTTCTTTCTGAGAAAGAAGTAGCTTTACATTAGATGCATAGCGCTTTCCCTACAGGACACATCAGTTTTCTGTTTTTCTCTTTTGTCAACTTTTTCCTCTTCCTGCAAGGCTGACTGATCCTTTTTTTCTTTGCTTGGTGTTTTGGAGAAGAAAATTCAATGAGGTCTGTCCAGGAGTGCCATCCTATGTCTTTGCATGCTCAGTGGCATGTGCTCTTCTGGTCTACACTCAAGCACAAAGTAACATACAACTCTTGCTCTGAAACAATCTCTTAGAATATACCAGGTCCTATTAAAACTGTTGTCTTCCATGGCAGAAAGCAGGAAAAGGTTATGTAGAACTTAAGGAGAGTCACTGATACCATGGTGGATACACTATTAACATAAAAACTCTGATCACTGACATTCCATATGTATTATTTCTGTCATCAATTGAGAGAATATAAAAAAATTATCATGTAACTTGAGAACAATCTCATGGTGGAATTGTTCCAATGACTGTTCCAATTCAGAAATGACAAATCTTCCAAAAGCTGCTGGAGAGCCTGATTTTTATTACTGCAAGCTTTTACAGTCTGTGTTGAGCTTCCCTTTCTTATAATCAATAAATTAATTACTGAAAATAGGTTAAAAGCAGGGGAAAAAGAAAGAAAAAAAATGTACAAGATGTGTATTTCTTTGCAGTTCTTCCTTCTCATTTTGGCTGTAACTGTATCCTTCCACTAGCATCACTTTCTTAGTAGCAATTTCTTAGGAGAGAAGAACTGGAGACTGGAGACTGGTGATGTCTCAGTAGCTTAATATATTTATCTTGATAAAACCCACATAAGGTCAGGAAATACCTAGAAAACCACTGATAGATGCAGAACTGAGATGCAGAGAGACAAAATGTTTTTTCTCAGGTTACAAGGGATGTCTGTGGTGGAGTGGAAAACAGATCCCTAGATTAATGCCCTAACCATTAAAATGCCTCTCCTTGGCTATGGCTGGTCATTTGAGTAGCTAATGAATCTTTACTTACTTCTAAGGATACTTTAATGATGTAAAAATTCTTTCACATTTTCACTTACACGGCTGAAAAACAGCTGGACTTCAGTTTCATGCTGTAATATCTTGCAGTGACAGGCTTGTGCCTCCCTGGAAAGAAAGCATTTCTATGAGAGCCAGGACATACTAATGGCATGCCAATAAGCATCTTCCTAGAGAGGTATCTTTTTATAATGAGAGTTCAGAAAAGCTGAATCTTCCCATGGACAAACATAGAATTCAACATTTAGGTAAATTCTCTTATTAACATGAAATGTAGGGAAAAGGAGAAAGTATTAATGGACCTACCATGGAAAACACACTGAAATCTGTCACTTCAGCTCTGCTGCCCTTTTCTGGACACGCTTCAGGATCTCAATGTCTTTCTTGTAGTGAGGAGACCAAAACTGAGCACAGTAAAAAAGGTGCAGCCTCACCAGAGTTTAGTAAAGAGGGATAATCACCTCCCTGCTCCTGCTGTATACACTATTCTGATACAAGCCAGGATGCCACCTGGCCACCCTGCTGGCACGTGTTCAGCTGAATGCCAACTAACACCCTCAAATCCCTTTTGTCCATGTGGTTTTTCATCCACTCTGCCCCAGGCCTGTAGTGTTGTATGGAGTTGTTGTGACCAAAGTACAGAGCCCAAAACCTGGTCTTGTTGAACTTGGCCTCAACCCATTGATCCAGCCATTTGTCCAGATGCCTCTGTAGGGCCTTCTTGCCCTCAGGCAGATCACCACTCCTCTCCAACTTGGTGTTGTCTGTAAACTTACTGAGGGTGCATTCAATCATCTCATCCAAATCATCAATAAAGATATTAAACAGGATGGGCCCCAATATCAATACCTGGTAAACACCATTTGTGACCATTCGCCAGCTGGATTTAACTCCATTCACCACCAATGTATCCAAGATCCAAGATGCAGCACTGGAGTCCAAGATATAAAGGAAAAATCTGAATCTTATGCAATTTAAGCAGAAAAAAATGATGTATTTCTAATTCAACTTTTCCATTTATCAATAAAAATTAAGAACAACTATGCCTTCAACCTGCGCTAGATTTATAAAAGATTATTGGTGTTTCAAAATCAACTCTCTTAAGATCTCATCGACTTAAATGGAAGTGTAGGACTTAATCTAGACAAGCAAAGATACTTAGAGATCTTTTTAAAATCAAAAGGAGTTAGTAGCTGTAGTGCTTTTGTGGATTAGAGACCGTCCAATTGCAAAAAGAGTGTAACATTTCTTACGCTTGAGTTCTTTGTATCTGTTCCATATTTATTGCAAGTTTTCTTAATATTGTGTGGTTTCAAGTCACCATTAAGCAAGTATGTAGTACTCTCTGATGTCTCTCACTACAGTTATGCAGTTTTTTAAAAATAATTTCAATAACACATTCAAAATGCTGCACCCCAAAAACAAAGTGACTCTGAGGCTCTCCTTCCCCAGAACACAAGATAATAATAATATGAGTTTCAGCTGGCCATTCAGAAACATCTTGGAATTAGAATTTATTTATTTATTTTAATTTAGCTAAATAGAATCTTTAAGTTCTTTTTTTTTATGTTCTTGGATTTTCTTTAGTCAGAAATTCAGATGAAATTCCTTTTTTTTTTTTTTTTGCCTTTTTTTTTTTCTAATGATCAGAAGAGAAAATGTGGCAAATAAAAATAGAAAAACAAGAGATGAAGTGTTAAAAAAATAACACTACTTTTCAGAAAAAATCTTTCAAAAATAGAATTTCTATCTTTAGTTCACTCACCAGGTAAATCAAGCAATGCTAATACTTCAAAAGTGTTTTTAACCTTCATGAACTATTAAAAATGATTTTTTTGTACTGTCCGCCATTTATAAATATAATTTACATCTTACATATGATGGAAATAGAACTCTGCTCTTTGTTTTAAGGCTTTGTCCAATCTTTCAATTTCAATGAACAAAAACAAAAGCAGTGAGATCAATGATAAGTCAACAATTGACTCACACAATCCATTCCTTCTTCCCATACTTATTTCTAATGAATGGAATAACCACAGGGGGAAAAAAAAAAAAGAAAAAAAAAAAAAAGAAAAAAGAAAAAAAAACTCACAAATAAAAAAACTCTATTAGCTCTCCTAGGAATTTTAAGACAGACCATAACTATGAGTTAATTACTTCCATTCCTACATTATCAGCGATAGAATCCTTTAATTAGTTTACCACAACCTGTGCAATAGAATGTGCCATTCAGAGTGTGTGTTTCCAATCAGTTATGGGGCTTGCTGCAGTTTCTACTGAGTAAACCCCAGAAACAGCAGCGTGTCTTAACACTGGGGGGGAGGAGATGAACAAAAAACAATCAATAAAACTGATAGGAAGATAACAAACCAGTAATACATGGAAGTGTTTCTTTCCTTCAAAACTGGGATGAGCAAAGCACAACATTGTGCAGCCCTACAGAGGATTTTTATTCCCTGTGAACTGTGACATTCAATGAGATCATGCTGGGGAAATGCCAGCTTAAGAACAAGCTGCAATTGGCAATTGAAGTAAGTCAATCATCTTAGGTGCTCTCTCAAAATAGTCTGCATACCATTGGTGGCTGAGGTTCCACTTTCTCTTGCCTTCCCAATTTCAAAGAAAATCAGATATCTTCTATTCCCAGTGTAATAGGTGCTTTGTCTTCAATTAATAGCTACAGTGAAAGGCCTCTCATTTTCTTTTTTCAGCGAATTTGCTACCATTTTGCTTGTGATTATATTCAATAATGGCAAATACTGGTAGCTTTTTTTTTCTACAAGTTCTGTTCTGATTCATAACACAAGGATGTGTCCATAGACTGTCAAGGTTTGATGAATCTGTGAGCACAGCGCATTTGGAGACGAGCATCATGAGTAAGCTGAGATGATGAATTTTTTCTGATACCAACATTTCCATGTAATCAATGACACCTCTAAAGGAGAAAGTGGAAACACTTTTCACACTCTATTTTGGGAAATCTCTCCTTTCCCTATCCCTCCCTCCATACTCACACAAGTTTTATTTTTAAGACTGCAGGCACAGTAGTGCAATTTTCATCACTACTATAGTCAGTAACTACAGACTGGCAATTTACATTACACTGGTATTTTATAGGAACCAAACTCAACTCTTCTTTATAAGGAATTTATTCCATTAGCAAGATCATATTTAATATATTCCCTGCTTATGATTACTTGTGTAGTACTTCCTGTAGCAGTCCAACAAAATAAATACAAATCCATTCTACCTCCAATAGAAACAGTTTGTCTCTACCATGCTTCATTTACCCACCAACCCACCAACAATGATTACACTACTCTAGGTTTAAACTAACATTGTTTACACTGCATTTTTTTTTAAGATACTTGTGACATGGGAATATAAAATCTTAGTGTGAAACAATAGCTATTTTCCATCACCTTCCACCATTCTCTTTGGAATAGAACTAACTAAAAACAAAATTAGTGGTCTGTGTCCTATTCATATAGCAGTGTATACTGAGAAACTCAATAGTGAAGGACAAGTGGTCTGTAAGTTACCACCTTCAACCTTGTGTGCAGTAATTACGAGCATTTTTCTACCAATAGTGACCTTGTCTCAGATGCAAATATTTTTTTTGTCCAATAAGTAAGTGTTTAACTTAAGTGGTATTGCAAGGACCGGCAAGGAGAGGCATTATTTTTAAATGTGTAAATGCAAAGAGTGTAATGCTAATGAAAATTGACTTCACTGAGGATTTGTTTTTAAATGAGTAAATGCAAGGAGAGTAACAATGATGAAAACTGGCTTCAATGATTTGTTTGATGTAAGAGTGCAGCAATCCATTGCTGAGATAAAAGTAAGATGAGCAGCTGGGAAGAATGTATCTGAAAAATGTATGAAGGTCTTACATTAAATTAGTGAACTACACTGAAGAGGAAAAGCAACAAAGGAGCCAGCACTTTCAGGACACTATCAAAGTCAGTAGGGAGCATCTGAATTAAGGCTAAAAGGACAGATATCGCTGTTGCCCCATCATCAAAGGATACTCTATGAGTCACATTTAAGAGAAATCTAATGCAATGTTACGCATTTTGTGTTACCTCCTTGCTCCTTTAAAGTATCATTAAAAATAGTGACTTCTACTAAGAACTAAGCGGGAGGCCCTGAGTGACACTTCTTAACAGAAGTGTCAGTTGTAAATGATGGATAAATTCTCATTTACACTAATGGTCAAGCAATATAAAGGGGTCATCACCTTGGCTTGATATAGATTTGCAATCACTTTCATCCTCTACTTCCATTAAAGAAGAAATCCTTGGAGTGAATGGTAGGAGTTCTAATATGCTTTAAGTCAGCATGCCTCAATGAATGCTACTTGGATTGCTACTGATATATTGAAGAAAAAAAAAAATCCGTATAATAAAAAAATATATATATAAAGTTAAAACTCTATCTGTTTCAACTTCCACATGTTCATATAAGGAAACAAAGCAAACCTTGAAAAAAAGGGTAATTAATTTGTGAAGATAAAGTACGTATTCAGATTTTTTTGATGGTTTAAACAAATCCATCCCAGACAATTGAACAGAATGATTCTTGAATTGTCTTTTTTTAAGTTAATTTTGTTATTAATGCTACTACTACTACTACTGTTATTATTATTAAAGTGTATTGAGATAAATGATTTAGGGTATCTGTGTTGTAAAAACAAAGTCATGAAGTTTGGGAATAAATGAGTAGCAAGAACAAACATACTGTGATGTTTGTGTGCATATTTGAGTAGACTAATTCTAATCACTCAGTTTCCCATAAGACCAATCAAACCTTGAACATTTGAGCATATTTTAAAGCAACAATCATGTCTGCTGGAGCATGCCTCTGTAGCTTCCTCTAAGTAGACCAGCCCTATAGTTTTCATTCCAGAACACAGTTCTTTCCTCTCAGCTTGCCAGTAATCCTCATGCAATAGCACCAATGATTTTCATTATTGTTAGAATAATACATCCTAATAACCAAGAAGCTATCAAAGATGAAACGTGACCCACTATTATAATATCACATATCACATCATTTGCCCCCTTTTATTTTTCTGCATGGCATAAATGAAGCCTCTCGTTAGAGTTTGCTATTTTGTAATATAGTGTTTGAAATGAATTAAAGGTTTGGCACTTTTCACACATTATTCAAATGTATTTCCCTTGTTACTACATTCTTCACCATACATTAGGTGTTAGAACACATAGCACATTGCAGGCAAGATGGGTGTTGTTTCTACAAAAATAAAAACTGTGAAATAGAGCTTTTTAATGATGCAGAATCAAGTATATTTTTGGATCATACTGATAATCTATAACACTCTT